TATATAATAATAATATAATATTTTTTTTACTTTATCCTATAAATACATTTTAAATGTGGCACTAAGGATTAAAATGGCTGCCTTCTGTTTTCCACAGCAGGCAGGCTGAGTCTGGTAGCTGAGTAGTTTTGGAACTGGCAACTCTACTGATTTAAATATGCGTTTGTGACAAAGAGATTCTAAAAGAGTCACAAATATGTGTTAGTAATCTAGAAACATATTGAGTAACCCTTGTTTATACTCAGTTGGCCAGGTAGTGAAATGGGTTTATTCTCTCGATGGGTTGCAGGCAAAGTTCCAACGAGAATCCACATCACAGGTGTACTTTCATGTTTTAATGAGCCTGGGTCAGGGCATAACAAAATTTACTCCTGGCTGAGGAAGTTTAAAACCCCCTCTCTCTACAAAGAGGTCACAACCAACAGTCTGCCAAACACCTCGCTGAAAAGTTATATTTATGAGCTTCCTGTGAATTGGGCACTGGGCTGATTGCATATTCGATTGTTTGCCATAAACAGTCAGCTGGATGACAAAACGGACAATTTCTGCTTACCTGGATGGTGATATTTATCATTGCTGTTTGAGCAGACTGTGACCTTGGCTGTTTTTTTCTTAAAGGGAAGTATGAAGCCATGGTGTCTTCAAGGACCCAGAGCGTTCCAACCTGAAGGAAAAAATTTGTATGAAAAATAAATAAAAAATTACCTAGTGAGAAAGGAAAGGTAGAACAAATGTTTTGCCTTAACTGTAGCCATAGCTGGGAAACACACTGCCAGTGACGTTACCATGTTACCGTTTCACTTTAACCTCTCTTACACACAAGATTCTAGGTAAAGATAACAGGAGTATGGGCAATTGCTGCCTAAATATATTTTTATAGATTGTTGTTGTAGAATTCCTACAGGGGAACCACTGGCCTGAACCGAATATAATAATATAATGTGATATATACCATACAATAAAATGCAATAAAGGACAAATGTTTAAGATTTAAGACTATTTAAAGGTCCAGTGTGTAACAAAAAAACAAAAAAAACAAATTGTGTATTTAAAGATGATTTGCTCCATTAAGAAACTGTTCACTGAAGGTTATAATAAACACAAGAAAAAAATGGTGCTAAAGAGCAATGATTATGTAGCAGATTACCCATAGTGCTTTATTAAAAAAAGCTTGGGTTGCAAATGTACTTTCAGAATCTTGTTAGTATCATCACCATGAAAATATTCTCACTTTTAATATACATGTATTTGAATTCCGTTATTTTTTTAACTACTCACCTTGCAGCAATGATGAACAGATGTGCTCCAGAGTGCGTGGGTACACTGTGACATCATAGTTGCACACTTCTGACCAGACCCAACCACTGAGGACACTGAAACACTTTTTTTCCCCGCCTGGTATTAAGTTACTCTCTAAAGCTGCATTTTGTAAATAATGTGTATTGTTTTCATGTTCATTTGTAGGACGCTGACAAGAATATCATCAAGTGGCTCAAGGAGAAAGGTCGCCTCGTCAATGCCAGCAGTTTCAAACATAATTACCCCTTCTGCTGGAGGTGAGACGTGTACAGAATTCAAACTGTAAAACTAATGTTACCTCTGTGCCGTGTTAGAGTGGCTCCTTCCAAATCAATTAAACTAACAGCTTCACTTTGATTCTCCCACTGTGGACCCTTAAAACAATGCTTTTTAAATAAGCCCATCTGCTGAAGATCAGGGTTGGAGGTCACAGATGTTAGGCCTGTACAAATTAAACATTATATTTTCTTCTTCAATACAGGCAGCCTTATTTAGTGGTAGAAGACATATTTTGCAGTTCAGTGTTCAGCACAGTCGGTGCTCATCCCTCCGTCAGTAGCATCAACACAGGACATCAGTAGAAGTTTTGTGGTCTCTGCACAGAATTAACTCAAAGCCAGAGTCAGTGTGGTGACACACAAGATGTCTCAAGGTCCCACGTTATCACATCCTTACTAACAGGAACACACACACACACACTTATTTTTTGAGCAGACTAAATCACTTACTCCCCTGGAGCAACTGCAGGCTGACCTGAGCAGGATTAATTAACCCAGTAAATATGCAGAGATGCTCTCTAAGCCACTAGAAGACACATGCTCAAAGAGATGAAACTGTTCTTAACCATAACTCCTGTAAAGTAGAACTCAGAAAGAGTTCTTGTTAAACCACAAATTTGTGAAACATTATTGAAACATGTCAAGGAGTCAAACAAGGTGATAGAATTATGATAGTGAAAACTGATATTTCAGTCTACACCAATAAGGTGGACTGACCGATTGAGCGACTCTTCCATTCCCAGAGCCGTGCTGCTAGTGAGGCTAAAAACGCCTATTATTGATTGTACCAGCTCAGTTTCTAAAGGGAATTCAGTGATCAATACAGCAGATCGACAGCAGAATAAAATATAACAAAATACACAATATGAGAAATACATTTAAAAAAAAAAAATACTTTCAAAATTCTTTGCAATATTATTTCAGTATTATGCAGCAAATGATTTCTTTTAAGTCAGTATTTTGCAGCATTAAGTTTTATTTAATGTGTTGTAATGTACTTTTAGGTCTGACACGCCCCTGATCTACAAAGCCGTCCCCAGCTGGTTTGTTCGAGTGGAGCACATGGTGGAGAAACTACTGGACAACAATGACAAATGCTACTGGTAAGGTGTTTTCTGAAAGAAGTGGTAACTAGCTGGGTGCTAAGTGACATTGAATTGGCAGCTATGGGCATCTTGCCAAACAAGCGCTCCAAAATACTTCTTGACAAGACAGCAGCCGCAGTCCCAAAACAATTACAGCTGCGATTCTGCACAACCACGACAAGTTGTTTGTCGCAGCCAGGGGCTTCTCCCTGCAGGACAGCTATGTATCACTGGGAATAGTCATTTTAAATGTGAAGTTGTTGCAAGGATTTTTTGTTATTGAATGGGGTTGAAATCCTTATCAAATTATTTTTATTATGATACACACAAGACTGATTGACTGTTTTATAGAAAACATTAGCATGATGCTAATTGTAATGGAAGAAAAGGTAAGCGTCAGCATGATGGCTTTGCTAAGTGGTATTACCCCTGGTGCTCCCAGTGCTCTTTTCTGAGCCACAGTAGCTGCCTCTGGTAATGGGACTGTCAAACTGAGATGAATGACTAGCTGCAAGGAAGGTGAAGACGCACAGACACACATGTACACAGAGACGCACACACTTCTTTTAAAGGCTATATTCCTTATCTGGGGGGGGGGGTACTAGTGTTGCATGTAATGTTGGGTGACCATGTTAATATGTATGTTAAAGTAATTTACAGTATGTGATGATGTGTTTGCATTATTTGAGGTAGAATAAGACTGCAACTAACAATGTATTTTCATTATCCGTTAATCTGCTGATTTAATTTCAATTAATGAACTAATTGCTTAGACGAGAGCCCAAGATGGCGTGTTTTGTCAGATCCAAAAATAGATACATTTTCTGTTAGTTCTGTACCGACTAATTGTTTTAGCTCTAGAGTAGAATGCAAAGAGATGTAAGATATTTGTAGACATGATGAAGCATTTATGTTGACTCTGTGTGCCTAAAGAATCACAGTAAAGTCAGTGCACATTTTTAACGATATGTTTAGCTGTTACACTTTCGGGGGCCCTTAAAGAAATTATGCATGTCGACACACATTTCCTCCCTGTCTGTGTGGCTGCACTACACTGAGGGTGAGGCTCTTATGCTGCTTTCTAATTAAGCTTTTTCCTCAACCCTAATTATTTGATTTTGTTAAAAGAAGATTTTTTTTTCTTCTTTTTGATTGGACTCCACTTCCAAACTTGAGTTCTAGTCTCTGGAGGATTGTCTGTCTGCCAGTGAGCTTAGCCAGCTCATCAGCGTCATGAAAAAGTGAAATGCTTGCAGAGTTCAGTACCTCTATATGAAGTTCATGTTAGCTAATGAGAGACTTAAAAGAATCCTTCAGAAAGCAAAGTGCTAGTTACTATATTCTCAAAGTGATTTGTTCATTTTTATCTCTCTTTACTCACATGGTGCAGTGGGTAGACTCGGGCTAAGTGTCTATTGAGAAAGTTCAGACTGATTTCTCCAGATGTCTGTCTGTCTGAATAAATTAAGGGCAGAATAAATGAGTGCTCGCAAGGGGGGAGCTAGTCTCCTTTGAAGCTCAAGGTGCAAAAGGTTTGGGTCCCTGGCGCCTGATCTCAAAACGTAGCTTCTGGACCATAAGGGAGAAGAAAATGTGGTTTCGGATGTACTGATTCTGAAATGACTCAGGGCGGATTAGCCAGGAATCAGACTTGTTTTTGTTGTTGTTTTTGTTCTTGATTTCAGACAGTGACAGACAAATGTAGGCTCCTTATTCGTAGCTGGTGAGTGTTTTTGTCATCCTCCTGTATTTAGTTACAGTTGCTAAGCCATGATTGGGCCATCACTGTTCAGGAGGAGGGGCTTAGGTTAATTGCCAGATTAGTTGCCTTTTTGTCCTTTAACACAGTTTCTCTTTTTCTTTCTTCCGTTTCTCTCTTTTTCCCACCTTCCTTACCTGTTTTTCATCATGCACACATTCAGTCAGTCCCCTCCCGACCACAACCTCTGTCCCTCTGTCTCCCTCTTGTATGCATCCCCAGCGTCTTTGACTTATAATAGAAGCCTGCACATTTTAAATGGCTCTTCTGTGCGTCTCCAGCACAAGACAGCACACTTTAAATTCTACATTTAGCATGAAGCAATAGAGGGAGGGGGACGAGTGTTGAGGGGGGGTGTGGTGAGCAGCAGCA